CTGGCCACCAAAGGCTACATGCCAACGCAGGAGCAGATTCGCATGAAAATCAAGTTGGTCCGATGAGACCCCCCAATCCTAAGCTTCCCCTCCCCCTTCTTCACCTTTCTTCCCCCTTTCAGCTCCCCCCCCTTTCCCCAGTCTCACCAGAGTTTCATCTCTCCCCTCCCTCCGAGTTTGTTAAATAGAGTTTGTGTTCATGAAAATACGTGTATTTTATTTGCCATCAGGAAAGGGGTTTAGGGAGGGGTAAGTGGAAGGACATGAGGGAGGAATGAGGCACAAGCCTCCAGTGGGGCAGACCAGGGAGGCTCTTAGTGCAGGGTCTCCTGGATAGTGACAGCCCCCCGATGGACCTCCCGGATGGCAACCTGCAGAAAGTGCAGCCAGGCTCGCAGCAACGCGACCACGAGAAGCACCAGAGTGCCCAGGGGCAGCTCTGGCTCCATGTTGCAGAGTGCTGCGGTGTCCTGAGTGAGGGCAACCAGAGCACGCAGAGACAAAATGCTTTGCTGTCCCTCATCGAGATAGGCAGGCAAGCAAGCAAGCAGGGAAACCTGAGAACCAGCTGTCCGTGCGGGGCGGGGGCCTCAAGTAGCAGCCACACAAAGTAACTCCTGACCTGATGCCCTGCCAGACCTGGTTCTGGTCGGCCTTAAATACGATTAAGCGTCCACCCAGAGTGGACGCGCTATTTTGAAATAGCAAAATGCTGTTTCAAAATGCATTTTGTGGGTAGACTAGTTATTTCGAAATAACTTATTTCAAATTAACTATTTCAAAATAAGATTTTGAAATAATGCTGGAGTGTAGACATATCCTGTGCTCTTTGCTGCTTCCACTGTCGTCTCATTTCACATGCATAAGGACTTTGGAACCATGTTCAGTACCTTAGGCATATAAGTACCTGCCAAAAAAAGAAACAGGGCAGAGTGTATATATAGCACTTTTGCAATACCCAGTAGTTGCAACCCCAAAAGTACTACGACCAGCACTGCAAAAAGTGCCAGGCTAGATAGCAGCCTACTGAACAATCATCTACATCGCTATCTTCTATGTCTAGAAAGACCATTTGAAGTTTTGGCTGACAGCCGCATAGTCCTGGTTTCTCCACTTCCATATTCCATCAATCCTCCCCCATTTGGGGACCGGGGCAACCATCACCTCTGACAATTGGGTATTGGAGATCATACACCATTGTTATTGGCTCCTATTTATTTCGATCCCACCTATCCAGCACACTTTTCTGTCTTGCTTCAGGGACCCATCTCATGAGCTTCTCCAGCAAGAAATAATCTGCAATTGTATCATAGAACACATCCCACGACAACACAGGGGGACAAGTTTCTATTTGCAATACTTTCTCACCAAGAAGAAAACAGGCGGATAGAGGCCCATCTTAAACTTAATCAGCTTGCACAAATCTATCCATGTCCATGCTTCAAGATGGCTACCCTCACTTCTATAATCTTGGCATTGGAGAAGGGAGATTGGCAAGCAACTCTCAACCTTCAGATGAATATTTTCATATTACCATACATTGTGCACACAGGCGATTCCTTCATAGAATCATAGGACTGGAAGGGACCTCGAGAGGTCATCGAGTCCAGCCCCCCCTCCCTCAAGGCAGGACCAAGCTCCGTCTACACCATCCCTGACAGATGCCTCTCTAACCTGTTCTTAAATATCTCCAGAGAGGGAGATTCCACCACCTCCCTTGGCAATTTATTCCAATATTTGACCACCCTGACAGTTAGGAATTTTTCCTAATGTCCAATCTAAACCTCCCTTGCTGCACTTTAAGCCCATTACTCCTTATCCTGTCCTCAGAAACCAAGAGGAACAAATTTTCTCCTTCCTCCTTGTGACACCCTTTTAGATATTTGAAAACCGCTATCATGTCCCCCCTTAATCTTCTTTTTTCCAAACTAAACAAGCCCAGTTCATGAAGCCTGGCTTCATAGGTCATGTTCTCTAGACCTTTAATCATTCTTGTCGCTCTTCTCTGTACCCTTTCCAATTTCTCCACATCTTTCTTGAAATGTGGCGTCCAGAACTGGACACAGTACTCCAGCTGACGCCTAACTAGTGCAGAGTAGAGCGGCAGAATGACTTGACGAGTTTTGCTTACAACACACCTGTTGATACAACCTAGAATCATATTTGCTTTTGTTGCAACAACATCACAGTGTTGACTCATATTCAACTTGTGGTCCACTATGACCCCTAGATCCTTTTCTGCCATGCTCCAGTTTGGTCTTGGGATCCAACACTATCAATGAAAGGTCTTCCCCTTTGCACTTTCTATGGCTCCTCAAGTATTTTCTAAGGGACTGGCAGTCGTCACAGCTCATCTGTGCAAATCAAGAGTAATCCTATTCCCATATGTAGATGACTGCTTTCTCAAAGCCTCAATTCAGCAACTTGCAGCATAAGTAGTCTCCCTCACTATGAATCTCTTCACCCAACTTGGCCTCTTGCTCAACCCTCAGAAATGCATATTGAACCCCACCCAGCCCACAGCTCAAATGTATAGGTGCCAACTTCAACTGCACTACAGCTACTGCAACCTTGCCTCAGCAATGCTTCCATGCCCGCACAAGCTTCATTGCAAAACAGCCCACAAATAGCCACCAGGCTGTGCCTATAACTAGGGTACATTACTTCTGCTATGTTTTTGCCCACCATGCCCAACTCTGCATGAGACCCTTTCAGGCATGCCCAACAAACATTCTCTCAGGATTAACACATAACTGCCTTATGGATGAACCTGGATATACCAGTGTTCCCTTCCAATGCAGCCGTCCATCAGTAACAGTAACTAGAGCCCTGCAAATTCATGGATATCCACAGGTATCTAAGGCTGTGCATCTCTCAGGCTCATTTTTGCAGGTAAAGATGCAGATGCAGACACAAATATTGTATCTGCTCATGGTTCTAACTACAGATGCCTCACTCAGATGGGAAGCACACCTCTGACTACATACAATCTAGGGTCCTTGGTCACCCATAGAGTCCATACTTCACATCAACCTCCTGTAGCTGCGAGTGGTCTGCAACACATGCCATCATTTCCTTCTGCTCATTCATAACCAGGGCTCGATAAATCATGTAATCGACTTGCCCATGGCAAGTACAGGGACAACCATCTCAAAGAACCCAGTTACTGCACACGTGAGTAACTGTCTTTTTGTGGAAATTGACTCTAGGGCAAATTACAGTTGAAGAACTAGATATAGTCAGAAGTACTGGGATATGCCTTCTAATAAAGTTTAGGCCCTTTTCCAGTACAAAAAGTTTGTTGCCCCACTTGTCTTTTAATGCAGCAAATGGGAAGCTTCCCAACTGTGTTTTCCCCTATCTCAGTGCTTCATCAAGTCCTGCAAGAGATCAAACAAAGCCACAGTGATTCTGATAGCCCCAACTTGGCCCAGACAAACCTGGTTTCCCTTCCTCCATCACATGGCCACCAAACCATCATGGTCCTTCTCTATGGTACTTCATCATCTCACCCAAGATACAGGCCTTTTCAAACATCTGAACATTCTGATCCTCTGCCTCAAAGCATGACTCCTCACTGGTTAACACCCCTGGAATTGTCCTGCTCTGCTTTGGCCCAGAAAGTTTTACTCAATACCTGTCTCTAAACAGACTATCCAAGTGGATATCTGACTGCATCTGATTGTTACCACACAGATAACAGGCAACCTCCTACAGTTCTGCTCATTCTTTCCACCAGAGCTATGGTCACTTCAACAGCTTTCCTGAATGATGTCGCCATTAGCAACATCTCTAAAGCAACTACCTGGGTGTCAGCACACTTCTTTACTAAACATTCTGCATTGGAGTTGCACTCAGCCACTGACACCCACTTTGGTCAGTCAGTGCTCATCCACCGTACAGTCATTCTGAAGCCCCTTCCTCCTTAGAGAGTCACTGCTCAGTCACCTAAAGTGGAGCACCCACAGGGACACTCCTCAAAAAAGAAAAGGTTACTGACTTGTGCAATAGCTGATCTTCTTTGAGATGGTTATCCCTGTGGATGCTCCACTATCCACTCTTCTCCCCGCTGCTTTGGAGTTTCTTGTTGATCCTCTGCAGCAGGAAAGGAACTGAGGGGTTGGTTGGTTGAGCATGTGGGATAGCCACTTGTAACGGCATTTTCCAGCTGCCCTGCATGTTCAGACTACCATAAATCTCTGAGCAGAGGCACTCAGATACCTAAAGTGGAGCACGCACAGGGACAACCATCTCAAAGAACCCAGTACTGCACACGTGAGTAACTGCCTTTTTGTGAGAATTGACTCTAGGACAAATTACAATTGAATAACTAGATATAGTCAGACGTACTAGGATATGCCTTCTAATAAAGTTTAGGCCCTTTCCCAGTACAAAAAGTTTGTTGCCCCTCTTGTCTTTTAATACAGCAAATAAAGTAAAGGAAAAAGGCTGGTATATCCTGTTAGGTGGGTCTCACTGATATTGATATATTAGTGAATAGAATCTCTTTAATCTGCGTCATTTCAAAATATTGCAACACATACGCTTGTACTTGGTGAGCTTCACTCTGTTGAACAGTGAACTTTATTCCTTTAATGAGGAGCCTGTGTGTTGCATAGGTCTTTGAGCCATCCCTTCTGAACTAAAACTAATGTTATCAGTTAATCCTAATGGGATGAGGTAAGTAATTCCTCACAGAAACACTTTTTATCTTCTGTTCATTTGACTTCTGGCTTTGTTGTTAGTCCATATAGGTCTTCCCTTTTTCTCGTGATGAATGCCTCCGTGTATTGTTAGATCGCCATCAATACACATTCCAGGTGTTCTGTACCAATATCGTGTTGTGATGCCCCGATGTTGCAGAAATATCTTACCTTCTCCTAAACCTAGCTGCTGAACATGTTCACACAAGACAAGATACTTGTACCAAATCATAGATAATTTTGATTGTTTTTAATACATGTTTGCCAGTTTGTCTCTTCATAGTTTTTATTTTTCAGCTTCAGAAGCCAATAACGAGATTGCAGCGGATGATGTGATTGAGAATCATGTTGCAGACCCACTTTCATCAGATGTTTTTCCAAATGCTATGGATTCTGAATTTTCAGTGTTGTCTTCTCCATTCAGTCCATTGGACCGACCTACAACTCATTCAGAGGATTTAGGCCATGAACATTTAGGAACTAATAACCTTAATGTTGATGAATTTATGCAAAATCATGAGTCGTGTGGTGAAGAGCAAAGTGCTCAAGAAAACTTGGCAGCATCTTCGCCAAACAAAGGGAAAAAAGTGATGCTTTCCAGAAGTGAGAGAGAGGTTAATATAGAACTAAAAGCACAAATTATGAAGGAGATTAGAAAGCCAGGAAGAAGTAAGTATAAGAAATCTAAACCACTATCTTTATATCCAGATTATTGGAGATGTAACTAGACTCAGTTGAAATATTTAAACTAGATCATTTTATTTTGAAAGATACTAAATCATGAAAGAAATAGAGAGATCTGTGATTAATAGCAGAGGTAAAAATAAAAGAGAAACACAATGTGTACTAGGAGAATTTACAAGGAAATCCTTTCAATGCAAAGTTTATAAGGACTCTTTAGAAAATTTGAAAATATATTTTTTCATGCTTTCCTAAGTGGGTGTGTGGAATAGGACTTATAGCCCTCTGTGTTTATATTCGTCACCATACAAGTGTCAGAGTTTGTGCTTACCTACTTTGACAGTATCCTGGGTTTAGTACGTTTGGGTTTTAATATTAAAATTGACAAATAACAATTAATTTTTCTTTGAGTGATGGTCCTTGTGTATGTTCCTTATGTGTAATAAGCATGTACACCATGAGCTTGAGTCTGGAATTTTTACGAGCATTATCCATTGGCTTGCATGTGTGTCATAGCTCTCCTTGTGCTCAGAAGGATCTGATGGTGAAGGCTCAGGATAAAGAGCTTCTGATGCTTCCTTCCATTTCTAAAGCTGATGCGATACCCGTAACAATAAGACCCCAGAGGAACCCAACTGCCACAGTGATGACGGAAGCTACAATTTTGACAGCTCTGCCATTGGATTCTTTTTGTACTTTGGGGTGATCAGAGACCTATGATGCCCTTACTTATCTCATCCATCCCTATTATTGATTCCATCTCCATTGTTGGATGTTGATAGAGGAAAAGCCTAACCTGTTGAGGCACAGCTATTGGAATGGTTCAGCATAAGAAAAGGGATTGGGCTTTTTCCTTGGATGAGTCTGTGCAGCAGTAAATGGAGGACCAGAATACAGCAGGCAAAGAAATAGGTGATATCCTATGCTACAGAAAGGGGGACAGTCCTCTGCCAGTTGATCCATCTTACTGTGAGGACTCTGGGATCCCTATCCTGGACTCTCAAGATTGGTGCAGGCATCCTGTTTGCCATCACCTGGACACCCGCAACTGGCTGTTTTGGACGATTTGGAATGGGAGAGTGAGGAGGATCAGATATTTGTGAGGTTCTTGGAGCAGTCTTGTCATCTTCACTGGATGAGGCAATTTCTTTGTTTTTTCTGTATCTGCCAGATGACTTGAAATAATATCAAGACTTCATGTCCAGGGTGGCTGCAGAGCTATAGATTCAGATTGAGGAAGTTCAGGAGTTTCAGTGTATTTTTTTTTTAAATTCTGCAGCCTTATAGTCTGAGGAAGTTCAGGAGTTTCAGTGTATTTTTTTTAAAAAATTCTGCAGCCTTATAGTCCCTGATTAGTGGCCACCATCATAAATGAAGCCATCATGGACTCAGCAGAGCTAGTTTGGCATGTTGCTGCTTCTTGTACTCACACCCTTAACAGGGCTGAGAAACACTACTTTGTTCCATCTAAGGGTAAGTTTTTGTTCTCTCATCCACCACTGAATTCTTTGGTGATTTAGGCAGCTACAGAGCAGCCCAAGCAACAGCCTCCAAAGACTACTCCTTCTGAAAGGAGATACAAGTGATTCAACCTTCTAGGGAGAATGGTTTCTTCTACATCATCCATTTCAGTGTCTCAAATGATCAGGCCTTCTTAGCCAAACATTATTTTTACTATAATTTTTTGGAATTTAAGGACAAGCTCCTTGAAGAGGGCCTAATTCCAGGCATTAGTGAAAGAGGGCAGATATTTTTACTATAATTTTTTGGAATTTAAGGACAAGGTCCTTGAAGAGGGCCTAATTCCAGGCCTTAGTGAATGAGGGCAGATTGGTGGCCAAAGCTTCCCTCCAAGCTGCATTGTGTACAGCAAATATTGCATCTAAGGGAATAGTTTACAGCTGTATTATGGAAAAAGTCTTGTCGGGTTATATTCCTCTGATGTTCCTAAAGAGGTGCAGAGTACCTTCCAAGATCTGCCCTTCAGTACTATCCACTTGTTTCACAAAAAGGCAGATGAGTCTTTTCATTCCCTCAGACTCAAGCACAATACTTTACTTGCTGAGCATTTATTCTCCTGGCCCTAAGAGAAAACACCATTGACATGTGTATGGGGCAAGGCTGCCACCTCAGTTGTTTTTCCACCAACATCCTAAGGGACCACCGCACAAGAGACTGAAGTTTATAGACCCAGGATCCTAGTCTCTATAGTATACACCATCACTTTTATGCTGTAATACCCTACTGAAGAGTTTCTTTTGAGAGAATCCATATGCCTTTATTGATGCTGCTTCGTTCACCTCCTCTGATATTCAGAGGCTGCCCTATCCAAATTTTCCAAAAAACTGGAAGCCCTAACTACAGACAAATGGGTATTAAAGACTATTCAGGGTGGTCGTCTGTTAATTTTTTTTGTACCTCCTACCCAGGCACCTTTCCCAGATTTTTTCAAGGACCAGTTTCACAAGGAGATTCTGTAATAGCAGGTGAACTTCCTTGACCTCAAGGGGAGCCATAGAAAGGGTTGCACTGCAACCTTAAGGGACGGGATTCTATTCCCCTTACTTCTTGATCCCTAAGAAGGTTGAAGGATGGAAGCTAGTTCTCAGTCTGAGACAACTGAACAGGTTCATGTAAAAACTAAAATTCCACATATCTTAGGCATCTGTAATTCCTTTGTTAGAAGAGGATACATGGGTCATATCTCTCAATACGAGATATTTTCACAGACATCTACCCACCCACCTACAGGAGATTCCTGTTTAGTTAAGAACATGACTAATTCAGAGTCTTCTCCTTTCTGTTCATTTTCTCTGAAGCATCTGGCATTGGCTGCTATTGGAAGACAGGATAGTGGGCGGGATGGAGCATTGATCTGATCCAATATGATCGTTCATGAGTTTTCTATCAAACACAGGATATCAGTCAGCACTTGCCTTGTCCCCTTCTGTACACTTGACACTGTTTGCCAGGCTTCAGCTTTACTGCCTCTGGGACTGGCTTCTGTATACAATCAGAGAAGGGCAACACGAGAATTCTGCCCAAAGTTTTAGACTCTTCCATCGGGTGGACAAAACTAGAGAACATTCAGGTGAGGATTCCTTTCCTCAGTAGGACTCCTAAGGCAGCCATTATGGATGCTTCTTTCTTGAGATGGGGTGCTCCTATGGGCCATCATGTGGCAGAAGACAGGTGGACCCTACAAAAGTCCAAAATATGTGTTACTTATGACCACTCCAGATGATCCATCAAGTCTGATGCTTTACTCCCACTCATCCAGTCTAGACAAACAGTTTTTGACAATGTGACAACAGTATTATATAAACATGAACAGAGGGAATGAGATCTGTGTCTGTACCGAGAGGTAGTCATCCTTTCTGAGGGTACATCTAGACTACATGCCTCTGGTGACAGAGACATGTAGATTAGGCTACCCGGCATAGGAAAATGAAGCGGCGATTTAAATAATCGCCACTCCATTTACATTTAAATGGCTGTCGCACTGAGCTGATGAGCTGTTTGTCGGCTCAGCGCGGTAGTCTGAACACTCCGTAGTCGACATCAAAGGCATTTGTCAATCTCCCAGGTAAACCTCATCCCAGGAGGCATCAGTCATAGCATAACACTGTCAGCAGCATATTAACCAGGCATGCAAAACTCTTTAGCAGACTGCCTGAAAAGACATTTTTTCCAGAAATCACAAAAAAGGCGATTCATAGCTTGGTTCTTGATGATAACTTTGCCCAATAACTGGCCTGGGATTTTTTTACCTCACAGGACAACAGGAAGCTTGCTCAGTACTGTTTCAGAGCAGTGCTGGCTACGGGCTTGATGGGACATGCTTTGTAAATACCATGAAAGGCTCATTTGAGGTATGCTTTCCGTCCTATCCAACTGATACCACAAGTTTTACAGAAGATTCACTCATCCTGTCATAACTAAATTTCTGAAGGGAACTCTCAGATACAAACTTCACCAATGATTGAAAGTAACTCAGTGGACCCCAATTTTGTTTTATTGTCATTCACTAACCTTCCCTCTTTTTTGAGCCTCTTGTCACATGCACTGTAGCCTAACTGTCCATGAAGTTGGTCTTTCTAATAGCCATCAGCTAGAAGAATCAGTGAACTGGGAGCACATGTATCTGCTACAAACTTTATTTTTTAAAAAAGGTATCGTTTCAACTCTGCTCTAGATTTATTCCTGAAGTAATTTCCAAGTTTACACAATCTGGGTAATCTAATTAAAATTGCTTGCCTTAGATAAAGTGAGAGAATAGGGATGTAAATGGTTAACTCTGCATTTGTCAAACTATGGGTCCCGACCCCCTGGAGGGTTGCGAGCAACTTAGAGGGAGGTTGCAGAATCATGAAGTTTGAGAACACCTGGGTCAACCAGTTAATCAGTAAGCCTCATCCTCAGGGTTTGACAAACCGTGGTGAAATCTACTCACCAGCCCTGCACTGTGCATGCGCCAGACCCGCGTGCTCATGCGCGCACTGCCGGTGAACGGGGCGACCGGCTGAAATCTACTCACCACTGGCGAGTAGATTCATACTGACCTCCCTGTCCTCCCCAAACAGGATGCTGCTCTAGCCCTGTGAGGTCTGCCAGAGCAGCTTCTGTCCGAGGCAGGTTCAGCTCCCCAGCCACAGGTTACACGCTGGATCCCCATTTCTGGGGAGCTAGCTAACTACAGAGCTCTGCTCCTGGGGAGACTTCTCTGCAATATAGAGTTTATTTAAACTTTTTACTGTAGAGCCTGCAGCCCATGTAACTGCTATTAATTTTGGTGGTCATACAGTTATATTTTTAAACAATTTTTTACATCCCTTAAGAGTTGCATTCTGTACACATCTAAAGGGTATTATCTTATCAAAGAAAAAAAAGGATATTGGAAAAATACCTAAACTATTTTTCCATTGCAGAGCATTCAAGGGATCAAGTTATATTGGTTCAGAGACTTTCAAAATAGATCTTGGCTTGTTTGCATTACCCTTTTATCAGTCAACTTATATTCTCCTTTGAAGGAGAGGTTGTCAGGGCTCATTCCGTAGCAGGGTTTCTGGGACAGTTTATATAGTGGGGTTGTATAAGAGCCATTGACCTTGTGTATAATGAAAACCACTTCAAGCCTGGGGGTGCAGCATCACCCCTAGTTCCAGTACCTATGTCCACTAGAGGGCAAGCTACGCTGTCTACATCACATACCCCTCCTAGAGATTCCTAGGACAGCTACTTGGTGCTCTTTGCATATCTTAATGAGATGATATGTTCTGGTCCAGTTGTTATCTGCAGCAACAGCTGTGAAGACAGTAGTACTACAGTCGGCTGGTGCTGCTGCATTCTTGCATCTAACCACTGTCTGACTACTGCTTGTTAAGCACCCACATGTGGAATATATACATAGAGACTATCACTCAAAAAAGAAATGGAGGTTGCTTACCTGTAATGGGAGTTATTTGAGATGTGTGGTCCCTTTTCGTATTCACTACCCATCCTCAGTCACCTCTTCAGTGGATTGTTTGAATTGTAATAAGAATGGGAAAATGGAGAGGTGTCTGCCTGCACCACTTCTTATGCTCTCTATTCAGAGCGGAAGGAGAGCTGTGGTACATGTGCTGGACAAAGGACACTGCTTGCAAAAAAATTCTGAACTCAGGAACCCTACATGTGGTGTGCGGACAGGGATCATACATTTCAAAGAACCTCCAGTTACAGGTAAGTAAGCTATGTGTATACTTGCCTACTTAATACAAACACAGTACCCTTAGTTAACCTGTACAAAACCCGGGATGTAGCTTGGAATTATGCTCATAAAACAGGGTGTTGCAGCAGACATATTTTGGTTTCACCTAATAATAAACTTTTTTTGCTTTATTTTTTAAGAATATGAAAGAATCTTCTTTTTGCTGAAGCATGTACAAGGCAGTTTACAAACACGACTAATATTTTTACAAAATGTTATTAAAGAAGCCTCAAGGTATGTAGTTATTATAAATCTTGTCAAATTCTACCAATGTATTGTATGTAAATAGAGGTGTGTGTATGTACCTACTATATATGTTGCATTGAGACCCACATATTTGTTACCAGCATTCATGTTACTACTCAAATGTTTCAAAGTACAGGCAAAAAGCCCTAAGGAAATCTCTTCTGTTCTAGTTCATTCTGATCTATTGGTTCTTTGGGGTGGGGGGGAGTTTAAGCCTTTATACTTGCACAAACTCAGCTCTTTGCCACCATTTTTCAATTTAATATCTTGGAAATGACTGAAGGTGTTAGAAACAGGAAGTAGATAAATCCATATAAATCTAGCAAGCTAGGGTGTGATTGTCCAGGGCACTAGCTTTCTGCATACTAACTTGACATGTGGACCTGTCTAGCATACACTAAAACTTCTGTAGTGTGCTTATGTAACCCACACATCTAGTGTGGTTACTGAGCAATGCAAGGGGTACCTAGACCACAGCAACAGTTAAGATCAAGAGACCTCTGCAGTAGCACCTGGGAGCCAGCTGGCTTTTAACTCAGAGAATAGAGGCTCCTATACTTCACTTCAGAGATCCCAGGTTCAAATCCACCTGGTGGCAATTACACTTTGACTTACTGCTGTTTGAAAAAATTCCATAGTATACAGTATCAGTCTCAATCAGATAGTTACTGTGCAGCAACCTGGTGCATTGAATATTTATACCCTGGCTTGTTGAGCAGTAAGTCTGTGTAGATAAGCCTTAAATGGAGAAGAATGGTGCAAAATGGAGGAGAATCAGTCCTATTCCTCAGTGTGGAGTATTGTACTACTTAAGGACAAATTTGAGTGTGCTTCCCGTCTCAAAGGCCTATGTATAAACACACTTAAGGACAAATTTGAGTGTGCTTCCCATCTCAAAGGCCTGTGTATAGACAAGGAAATAGCCCAAATACTTCCTTGACAAATGGTATTTTCCGACATACAGCCTACCCCAAATATTGATGGAATGAGACTCAGTCTTCATTCATTAACTTATCTGCTATCCACAACTAACGCTCTGTAAAACTTTCTGTGAGTGATGTACCCAAATACTTGTTCACTAATACCTAACCTGTACTTTTAAACTTGCAAATCTAAATCTGGGAAAGTGCTGATTATGTACTATATGTATCATGTGACTTGTTAGGTGAAACTTTTAATTTTAGATTATACAAGCATGACACCGAGATGCACAGAAATTGACTCAATCTGTGTACTATGTAAATGTTTTTAAACATAAGCTTCAATAAAGATTTAAAGCTGTTCTTAACAGTGGTTCTCACCCAGCAGGTTACATTAAGTTGTTTAGATATTTGCCTAGTTTTACAACAGGCTATGTAAGAAGCTGCAGCAAAGTCAGTAAAAACTAAAACTTCATACAGACAGTTACTTGTTTTACTGCTCTATATGCTATACATTGAAATGTAAGGACAATATTTATATTCCAGTTACTTTATGATTATATGGTAAAAGTGAGAGAGTAATTTTTCCATAAGTGTGCTATAACATTTCTGTAGTTTTTTAATGTCTGATTATATAAGCAAGTAGTTTTTAAGTAAGGTATAACTTGGTGGTACATAAGACAAATCAGACTCCTGGAAGAAGGATACAGTCATCTGTTTGGAAAGGTTGAGAGCCACTGTATCATAAGATTGTGGGTTAAATTATTTGATGATGTAAAACAACATAAACCCATTGACAACAGTGGAGCTGTACCATCTTATAGTAGATGTGTTAGATATAATGTAATTGAATATTCATATAACAGCATGAAATCTTAGCAGTTACACAACTATTGGATAGTCCTTGGAGGCGGGGCTGGCAGCCAGTGTGCTCCTGGCCCCGCTTCCAAGGAACCCCTGATACAAAGGCAGCAGCGCAGGGTGACAGGTGGAAGCCAATCTGGGAGGGGAGCCAGTTTAAAAAACAGCTCCCCACACAGACCAGGTGGCAGCAGCCCCTGTCCACAAGAGGTCCTTGCTCCCCATGGACAGAGGCTTCTGCCACAGAGCAGCCTCTGTCCCGAGGGAGTTCGGACCTCCCGCGTACAGGGCCTACTGCCACAGAGCAGCCTTTCTCCGCAGCAGGCCCACGCTCCTGTGGGCACAGGCTGTTCCATGGGCTGCAGAGCAACTTCTGTCGGCGGGGAGGAAGGCAGGTCCACGGGAACTGATATTTATCGGTTAATTGTGTAGTCATCTGCACGCTGGCATGCTATCTTATTCTTGCTCAGGATCTGAGCTTATATACTTTGAGATCTTGCTCCAGAAAGATGTCCTTTTACTCCTCATGTTGACTTTGTCCAGAAGAAGCTAAATCCACATTTCCTTAGTCAGAGGTTAGAGAGCTTTGTTGAGTAGTGAGCAAAATCTTGATCCTTGTGTGTATTGTAGATAGGATGTAGATACACTCCTCCCAATTTCCAATAACCATGGAAATAGTTCAAGGAACACAACTCCTCTAGCCTCCAATGCTTTGCTGTGCTATCTGTCTTGAATCCCCTTTCAGAGGTGTGCTCCAGCTCATAAGGTGTATGGAGGCCTATGCATGGTGTTTGCTTCCTCACTTCCCCAATACAATGAACTTATGCCAATTCTGTGGGTGTTAGATTTCTTGCAGGCATTAGTTCATAGAATCATAGAGGTGAAGAGACCCCAGGAGGTCATCAAGTCCAGCCCCCTGCCCAAAGCAGAACCAACCTTAACTAAATCATCCCAGCCAGGACTTAGTCAAGCTGGGACTTAAAAACCTTTAGGAGTGGAGATTCCACCACCTCCCTAGGTAACCCATTCCAGTGCTTCACTACCCTCGTACTGAAATAGTTTTTCCTAATATCCAACCTAAACCTCCACCACTGCAACTTGAGACCATCACTCCTTGTTCTGCCATCTGTCACTATGGAGAACAGTCTCTCTCCATCCTCTTTGGAACCTTTCTTGAGGTAGTTAAAGGCTGCTATCAAATCCCCCCCTTGCTCTTCTCTTTTGCAGACTAAATAAGCCCAAATCCCTCAGCCTCTCGTCGTAGGTCATGGTCTCCAGCCCCCTAATCATTTTGGTTGTCCTCCGCTACACCCTCACCAATGTATCCGCATCCTTTCTGTAATGAGGGCCCTAGAATTGGATGCAAAACTCCAGATATAGCCTCACCAGTGCCAAATAAAGGGGAATAATCACTTCTCTAGATCTGCTGGCAATGCTCCTTCTAATGCACCCTAATATGCCATTAGCCTTTTTGGCTACAAGGGCACCCTGTGGACTCACATCCAGCTTTTCCTCTACTGTAATCCCCAGGTCCTTTTTGGCTGAACTCCTGCTTAGCCAGTCAGTCACCAGCCTGTAACAATGCTTGGATTCTTTCGTCCCAAGTTCAGGACTCTGCACTTGTCCTTATTGAACCTCATCAGATTTCTTTTGGCCCAATCCTCCAGTTTGTCTAGGTCTCTCTGGACCCTATCCCTACCCTCCATTGTATCTACCTGTGCCCCTAGCTTAGTGTCATCCGCAAACTTGTTGAGGGTGCAATCCATCCCTTCATCCAGGTAATTAATAAAGATGTTGAAGAAAACCGGCACTAGAACTGATCCTTGGGGCACTTGAAATCGACCGCCAACCAGATGTCAAGCTATTGATCACTACCTTTTGAGTCCGACAATCTAGCCGGCTTTCTATCCATCTTACAGTCCATATTTCCTGAACTTGCTGGCAAGAATTATGTGGGAGACCATATCAAAAGCTTTGCTAAAGTCAGTGCTGAAGTGGGTCTGAAACTCCCAGATGAAGGAAGCAGTGCTTCAGCGACGCTCCCCTTCCTCCTTGCATGAACCAGGGGATTTTTATGATGCTGTAGAGGAAGTCTCATAAACCTTAGACCTCTGGACCTCAAAAAGGCAAAAGTAGATACTACCTTTGCAAGATGGCATTTGGTATTAAATAAGTGGAATGAAAATCAGGGTTAGACCCCTGCCCCTTTTCCTTCTTGCCCTGAAGGAGTATGTTTGAGGGTTTTCTCTTCTTGTAGATGATTTCTCAATGCTCATATTAAGCACTCTAAGCCTTCCCCAAGCATGTAGAATAGGTTGTTACTGCTGTACCATGTGAAGTCCTCCCTCAGGCTGCAGTGTAATGGAAATTGTAACTGTTTCACTTTCAGCCCAGGGCTCCTTGATCCCCCAGGAAAAGGGGCTCGGATTTCAGGTATCAGCAGAATGGGAGTTGTGACTTCTGCTCTTCAGACAGAAACGAGCTCTGAGTCTGAAAGGCAGGAATGGGTCTCTTTCTACCACTCCCGTTTCAGAGGCTGGCTCCACATTAAACTCTAATTAAGGAGCATTGCAGGCTGACTGACCAGACCAGACACACCATGAAACTATAAATGAGAAATCTCCTCCAATGTTCAAAACAACTCCTGATTTACTGTTAAAGCTGTGAATGGTACTGGATCACTTCTTGGGTGCTAGCCAGACTGGAGGAACAGGCACAGGCAGGCAACCTTTCAGACTTGTAGGGATGTTTAGCAGGTTAATCACACAATCAAATTAAGTTATTTTTACCAATAGCCTTCCTCTGAGCAGTCCTCAGGCCAAGATGAACAGTATGTTATCTGCCCCGTAAATAGCATGCGCAAATACCACCTGTGTGTCATCAAGCACCTTCTCCCCCCCAAAAAATGCAGGACTTTGCAGGTCAGGATGCCAGTGGCTTGCAAATGTTAAACTAAAATGTATAAAAACATTTTTAAAAAGTTTTTTATAGAAGACCTCCACTAGTTAGATGGTCTTGCTTTCAGAAGGGTTCTTGCTTCTAAAAGACACTGAACAACTCCTCAGCAATATCTGTTCAGACCAACAATTTTTCATAATATTTTAGTAAGGGAAGCCTTGTTGGTGTCATGGAAGTGCTACATGTTCTAGGTGTGACCTTGCTTGGAATGAAACATCTCTAGTTTTGTCCTGATGTGATGGGGAAGGG